CAAAGTCGTTTCAAGCATCTCTAGATAAAGACGAGATACCGGGAGATTGGAAAAGAGCGACGGTAGTTGCTCTGCATAAACATGGGTCGAAGAAAAAGGCCGAAAACTACAGACCAGTAAGTGTGACGTCGGTCCTATGCAAATGCCTAGAAAAGGTTGTACATAAGCATATGGCTGCGTACTTCGTAGGGTATTAACTACTGTAGCCAGCTAAACATGGCTTTATCAAGAGGAAGTCTTTTCTATCAAAGCTGCTTGCCTTCCTCACTGAGGTCACACGACGCTTAGACGAGGAAGAGCATGTCGAGGTCTGTTACCTGGACTTTTGCATAGCCTTTGACCCGGTAAGTCTTCAGAGTTTAGACCATAAAATGCAACTATTGGGAATAGGGTGAGGTTAGAAAGTGGGTCTACTGCTTTATAACTAACCGCACCTTCCAGTTCAAGGTTGGTACGCAATTATTGATGCCGGCCAACATGACTAGCGGTGTCCCTCAGGGTTCTGTGCGAGGCCCACTGCTATTCTCAATGTTCGTCAACGAACTAACACGGTAAATCAACACTCTGTGCTTAATGTTCGCGGACGACTTCAAAGTGGCGGGAATGAACGTATATCAGGACCCGCAGGATGGTATATGGTGGTCCAAATAGTGGGATCTGTAGTGACGGTGTCAACCCTTTTCGCTCATGTACCTTTCCATCTTCTGGACCTTGTTGTTTTACCGGACCAAGATTACCTCGTTGGTCACGGTACCTTGACATTCACTTTCTGCACGCTTTCTTACCTGTACGCTTCTCTCTCTACTCTCCAGCTCATAACAATACAACAGTCGTTGAGGTTCCGTGATATCAGTCGTTCTGCTTTGGCTTGTTACCACGCTCGTTGTTAGACGTACGAGTTCGCAGACATCATCAACCCTCGAGACTAAATTGGTGAGCCCGGCGTGATATTTTTCTACATTTTATAGTTATCGCGCATTTTAGTTTCGTTATCACTGTTACCTTATTTCACTTGCTTAGTCCTTTCATTATCGCTGGGTTAACTTAAGATTTATTTTTACCACCTTTAATACGTTGAGATATAGACCTAGTAAAAAAATATTTTTTCTACTCATCACTTGCGTACATAATGCAAAACTCATTGATCGACGATCAAGTCAACGCAGAAGTCAACTTAAAGTAGCAGGATAGCCCCCACGTTAGTGGTCTAGTGGCTAGAATACCAGACTTCATCCCCGAAGACCCGGAGTTTTGGTTAACTCAAATGGAAGCACAATTCCGGCTGGCCAGGGTGACCAATCAGGTCACCAAATTCACACAAATCGTGGGACATTTCCCACGCTCCATGGGTCCGGGCTTAAGGGACGTAGTTTGCAATCCCCCACCCTATAGTCCTTATGACGCATTAAAGGAGGCGATAATTAACCGCTTCAGCATGACGAAGGACAACCGTCTCAAACAGCTACTGAACGGAATCCGTCTAGGGGACAACGGGCTTCACACTCCCACGCAGCTACTCAGCTATATGGGGAGCCTGGATTCTAGCCTACACGTAAGTGAAAATGTGCTACGCATTTGTTGGATGCAAGCACTGCCCGAATACGTCGCGAGTTTCCTTAGAGTATTCGCGAATAAGGCTACCTTAGACGAGCTCGCAGAGGCAGCCGACAGCATTTGCGCACACACACCGTCGGCTCCACCCGTCACTCGCCTATCCCCAGACTCGAGGAATTATTCATGGAAGGACGCAAACGACCAAGTGAATCGGCGTCTGGACGAAATAATGACCCAAGTAGCCGCACTCAAATTTCCCGCGATCGATCGCGTTCTATCTC